CGTTGTGAACCGCATGATATAATTTCAAATAAACCATACCTATGCGAAAATGTTAAAAGTTGACATATGATATGTCATTCTATTCAGGGTGTTATTTTCTATCGAATAAAGTAAAAAAAAATACCGATGGTGCCATTTAAGAATCAGAATTTGAATTTCAGGTGAAACAGGAAGTGACAAAAAACAAATATCGTTTTTTTATCTGAAAAAATTAAAAAGTAATAGGGGTGAGCCACTTTTGGTGACGCACCCGGTATATAGGTGTAATTTTCCAGGTTTATAACTTTCCAGATTAATTTGACAATACTGACTTAACATTTGAATTGAAAGCATTTTGTTTAGCGTGTGTTATATGATATACCTATGTACATATACTGCACGAATAGATCAGGTAGTTTCGCCTGTTTCATACAGAATCTGTATTCGCCTTTGTTTCTTAGCTTCAATTTACTGAGGGGTTCGTTGAGGAAACAGTGTCCTGTTAAATACCCCGTGAAAATCCGTAGTTTGTTCTTACTTAAATCAAGGAAAATCTTTGATTTTTCTCGGTCATAAGTTCTCTGAGAAATTTCTTCGAGTGTTTTAGACCGTAGGAAGATTCTCATTCCAGATTACAGATGGAGTCTTTCAGGTCCTTAAGTTATTCGCTTTAAGTTGGCTTCCACTTGTAAAGCAGAACAGATCCAGCAAGTTGTCCAGTTAGCGGAGTGTTCGCAACTTTTCTAGCTAGCTCGTCTGCTTTTCCATTGCTTTCTATCCCTTGGTGAGCGGGCACTCAGAGTAGGAGGACTTTACTCTCTTTGCCTAATTTGTTCAGCTTCTCTAGGCATTCTTTGACCAACTTCGAATTGATAGGTATTAAGTTGATCGCTTTTAGTGCTGCTTGACTATCGAATATGATGGCTAAACAAATCATTTTGAAAGCATTCGTAAAAAATCAAAAGACTTTTGATTTATATATTACCCAATAAACCAAATCTCCTTAAAAAACATCTTGTGATCTGTTGGGAAAGTATCAAATTTGTTTTATTAGTAAAATACCACCGACAAATTGGTTTCCGTTAAATCAAGGCCAGTGGTGTTTACAAAAAATAACTTTTTTATTTAATAGCTTTTTCAATGGCAAAAACTCCAGATTTTTCTCAAGAAATATATTATATATATTATTAATTATAAAACGTAACTGGCCTAGTCACAAAATAATAGCGTGTGTATAACAGTAAATGATATTTACCCTGGAAATGGATACGCCGTCTTTCTTTTGCACGATACGAATCATCGAAAACTGCTTATCAGATCTGCGCGTTCGGTCGGGTGAGGAATTGCCGCATTTCTTCAAATCGTGTCGCTGCTAGATCCATGTTTCCGATAAGGGCGGCAAGAAATGATATTTCTTAGAAATTCGGGTCACGTTCTCGAGATTTCCAACTTAAAAGCAAAGTCAATTTTCGTTGTCCTCTCTCGATGTCATGACCGTATGATTTTGTTTAGCTTAGACGCGGTTGCTATTGATTTTATATAGATCTTAAGAAACTGATAATTTTTATTCTTACGGTGCAGGAAAAATTCAATAGATAGAGAAGCTAAACTGTGAATTGTGCCTTTTAGTTAGATTAGTTGCTGCAAAATTATTGGATAAACTATCAAACCTAATACTAAATATAATGTATTTTTCTGTTTCTCTCATTTGTTAAGCAGGAATTCTCAGACTCTCAGATGATCGAGATTATCATTATTCATGAATCCATATAATAGTTTTCATATTACTTCTAACCTTTTTTATAAATTCAAGCGTCGAAAAAACTAAAGTACTTTATGTTAATCTACAAAAAATGGTACAAAATATCTCTAAAATCGGTTTCATAAAGATCGGTTTCATCGAATCACCTTTTGACTTTGCAAGGTACTACAATTTTTCCTAAGACTTACATGAAGTACTAAACATAGCGAAAGCTATACCTACAGAAGGCTGCCATTTTCCTAAGCAGGTGCCGAAGGATGTGTGGAAAAAACTAAAAGGAATAAATAAATTGTAATAAACCCCACTATTGTAGAAAACACTGCTGCATTTTGCGTCTAAAATGGCACGTTCTAGCTTTTATTTCTATCAATTTGTAGGTATTCAAAATAGTTAAATATGCTTGATTTCATACGAAAATAGCGAAAAAGTGTGGTTGCATTTCTCACAATTTGTGTCAGAGAATATTCAGATTTTACTCGTGGAAATTTAAATGCATCATTATTACAAATTGTAGCCCTATATTAGCTATATATCATTTTGATAGTTTGTTACTAGGCACTATTTTAAACTGAGCTGGGGAATAACATAGCTAATAAAACAATTGTGTGTCATATGTGTACAAAAATATACAATGTTGTAGTTTTCTCTTTTACGTGCTATTTTTAGTGTGGAGACTATACTCTAAAATGACCCTTCCAGGTTGCAAGACCTGTGATAACCTACGGGTTAGTGTGGGGGACAAAGACATTGCAAATGATGATATTGCTATGAGGTTGTTAAGTTTCACACAAGGCTTGTTTGTAAGGGGGGCATGAAAACCTACACATGTCCCCTTTGAATCTACCACCACTACACATTTTCATACAAGGCGAAACTAGATGTGCCATGGAGAGGTTAATTCATGGTCAACAGCACATAAATCAGAGCCATAGCGCTGAAAACCAGAAGCTAATTGAAGAGCTAGAAATAGGCAAGATACCGAGAATACCGTTAGATGCTACAAGGTATTATCCTTGTCTATATGTAATAGTATTAGCAAGGCTTTAACCACAAACTTAATATAATTTTGCCAGGTGGGGAAGACGAATAAATGGTGTACTCGTTCAAGTTGTGGTATACAGGCAGCTCAGGCATAGGAGGAACTGGAATAATAGAATGTTACAATTTTTCAGGAGGAAATAACGGTAATCTATACTGCTGTATAGGTGAAGCAATAAGGCAGGAAAGAACAGATCGTTCAGTCGCCATCTTCACAGGCCTCTAAGCGGCGCTAAAAGCGATCGGTTCCACAAAGATCAATTTTATTTTAGATTAATGTGGGATTGTGTGCTGGATGGCAATAATAATGTTACGTTAGCCTGGGCATCAGCGTGTCACAATGATAACGAAGAGACTGCGAATTGACCAAACAAGGCTCATTAATGCCATTCATAGGCTCAGGACCCTTCTGCATACGGCACTGAAAAGAATCGTACAAAAATGGCCACAAAACAGTAAAGACTGTCAAAGTTGTAGTGGGTTTGGTTGGTCTACTAGCAATGTATTGTAATCTTAATAAGCATCTAAATCTGATGGAATTGATGGACGAAACAACTTCAAAATTTGTCAATATGCAAAAAAAGATACATAAAATACATTTAAAATCAGTGTGACAGCCTAGCAAATGTGCATTATTTTGATTGGACAATGATAAGCCATCAACAAAGAAACTATATGGACAATATTAGATTTGGACAAATATATTTTCGAAAAGGACAATTTATATTTTTGAAAAGAAGTACTGGGGTATGAACAATACTGGGGTATGTAACCTAGAGATCAGAAGAGAACCACAATAAATATCGCAGTGGAACAGGGCCCGAATTCTTTAACTTTAGAAAACGCTAAGCACACTTCTTTTGAGATACTTGACGATGATGACTTTTGACATAGTGCATATAACGTAAATTTCAGCTTAGGTCGCATTTGACTACCGATTTGGGTATTCTCATTTGACCTGCTTAGCGTCTTTACCGATTGCGCTAAACGATTTGAAAACGGCTACTGTACAGCATCGTTTTGCTTGTTGAACTAACCCAAAAATCTACAACTGTTGGTAAAAATAGTGATTTTGTGCCTTCTCTTGCTCTTTAGTGAAAAAGACGGGTTCTTCAATAAATTTCTCAATAAGTAATGGCCAATATTACAACTTGGTAGCTATAAATATTGTTCAAAATTTGATAGCTTTTTTTTTAAATTTATAGCTTGCATAGAAGAACATTTATGAAACTAAAGATTCTACACACAGATTTGTCCTAGCCCTCTTCCTGAAATACCTGGCAAATTTGAAAATTTTGCATTTTTCGACAACCCTCATATCTCGGTTATCCTATAACTTATCGAAAAGGTGAAGTCTGGGTTCCGTACAGTTTTCCACGTCGCGTCGCTGAGATCTATCATTTTCAAATATGACTCATACATTTTTTAAATGAGACAATTCACACACAATGGGACAAATTTCAAATATTCAAACCCTTATAACTTTTGTCAGGAGAGTGTGCAAAATTCGAAAGTAGCTGTGCAAAATTGTGCAAAATTAGCCGATTCGGTTGATATAAACAAAAGTCAATTTCGTAGCAGATGGGGGGGAAATTACAAACTTTCAAAACCTCATAACTTTCGTCAGGAAGGTGTGCAAAATTCTAAAATATGTGTGCAAAATTGTGCAAAATTAGCCGATGCGTTTGATATAAACAAAATTCAATTTCTTAGCAGATGGGGGGGAAATTGCAAATTTTCAAACCCTCATAACTTTCGTCAGGAAGGTGTGCAAAATTCTAAAATAGGTGTGTAAAATTGTGCAAAATTAGCCGATTCGTTTGATATAAACGAAATTCAATTTCGTAGCAGATGGGGGGGAAATTGCAAATTTTCAAACCCGCATAACTTTAGTCAGGAGAATGTGCAAAATTCAAAAACAGGTGTGCAAAATTGTGCAAAATTAGCCCATTCGTTTGATATAAACAAAATTCAATTTAGTCACGTTCGCTTGCCACTTTGAAAGCGTAACGTTTTTATGTCAAAAGTTATAGAATTCGGGCCCAGGCCGATAGCCACCTCAAAAATCTAATCTGAGGATTAAAATATACAATAAGTAATTTCTTTATTATTATTATAGAATCTAGATTAAAACGTACTTTCTCTCTTGAAAACGTGCAATGTACGGTCTATTTTATGACTCGTTATTTTAACAGAGACTCAAAAGACTAAAATATCCTAATTACCTAATTTCGGTTGTTCTGTGGCCACTATACTTGCTTTCTTTCTATTGATGCTTTTGACTGACAATGTAGAGATTGCGTTTGTTCTGAAAATAGAAAAAAAATATTAAAGTATATATTAGTAAGTAAACACCATTAAAGAATAAAGAATAGTACGGGCTAGGTAAGTAAATAAGTCTAGGGCGTGACGACGCCAAAATTATCATCGATTAAAATTCTCCAACCGTCTTTTTTTTAAGTCAGTTTAAATGGTTTTAAGTAAGAAATGTGTTAAAATCTACTAATTGAAATCGCGTCAATTATTTGGTCGCAATTATATCGCAATCTGATTTATTAATTGCCAAAGAGAAATTTCAACTGGAATATTTGATTAATTACTACCATTTATCCGTTGCACAATAACGCCTAATCCAATATTCTATTAACCAGAATAATTTGATAGCGAAATATGCATATTAATATCGTGCAGTAGTTCTACAGACGTATATTAAATTATGCACACGCATTACACATTTGTTCTAGGTATAATACTTAAGTAAATTCCAATTTAAATAGTACATACCTATTATGGCTAATATTAAATACAGTTTCCTATGTTCTCTGTGGGTATCTCGGAAACTAACTAACTAGATAGAGAGAGAGTCGGTTAAATGGGGAAAGAATTGCAGTTTTGTGGGGTACGTCAAGTTTCTGGCTAGCTTACAAATCGGTAATAATATTTAATAAATGTAAATTATATAAGGATAAAGTAAACTGAAGGCGAACTTCCCACCTATCAGTCTTACTGAAACAGTAATACTGATTCAGTGAAACTGAAAGACGGAAAACGGGGTTTTTGTTCACACGTTTCATTTTGATAATTGAATATATTAAATTGGTCTAGATATTCTTGGTCTCATAAACATAAAATATCTACAAAATATCAACCAGTTGTTCGAGAAGTATATAAGTCATTACATATTCTGTCACAAAAATGAAAAAATGTGGTAGATGGTAGTGAAACAATATGGAAAGAATTTTGTTTTGAAAGTATAATTATGTCATTATTTCCCCAAAACTTGAAAAAATGAACGAAAAAATTATGTTTTAAATTCAGTTTTTATTTAATGTTCGGTTAAAATTAATAAAATTAGAATCAGCTTTCAGTTTCACAGGGTTTCACCGATATAGTCTGAATACACTGTTCACTGAAAACCTGTTCTCCCGTTCTTTATTCGTAGACTGATTCAGTTTGAAAACCCATGAGAACCCAATATTTTCTTTTAAATTGTGATATTTATCATTTTGAATATTAAATCCATATTTTATCCAAATATTGCGGCTAGTTTGAGTAGCTTGTAATTTTCTTGTAGCAAAATAAAATACTATTTTGCCACAATACACCAAAACACTTTACTTTTAACACTGGACGCACGTTAACCATCATCAGATTAATACTCAATAATGTATCTATAAAAACATAGATTTTATACCGTATGATTGAAAAAAGAAACGACATCCAAGACGGCTAGGGAATGACAATGGAAGATAATTTTGACTAGGTTAATCTCTAAATGTCATGTACTAAAAATTTGACATAAAACTTTTTAGACGTTAACACTAGTTATAGAAAGATTAAAAAAGGATAGAACGTTTCCGAAGTCATAAATTTATTTCTAAAAAAATATTTTTTTCCAATTTTAAACTACACCATTTAAAAATAATTTTACTCATTATAAAAATATACAACTTTTTTAGTGCCAATTGGCAATAATCGCCATTGAAAAATAGAGAAGAGTACGGACCAAGAAAATTATGTCTAGGGCTTAACCTCGCTAAAATTATCATCGATTGAGTCATTTCCTATCCACCAGTTTTTTTTTCGATCTTATAGTAGTTACTGCTACTTTGATCTGACATGCAAGAATTGGTATCCAAAGCTAATTAACAGGATAAAAAAGTGATTAAACAAAAATTAAGTAACTTTTTTGTGGCTTTGCTTGTTCCAATATAGGTTTACTTGTAATTAATTTAGGTCCAGTTAGTAATACGTCTTCACGTTATCTATATCCATATCGATGGTTAAAATCTTTAAATTCAGATACTTTCCTTGGCAGTACTGCCGTTTTATGATACCAAAGAATTTTTATCTAACAACTTGGAATTATATTAACATTTCAGTTGAATAGCTATTATGTAATATATCAGATTTATAGCAAGAGAAATCGATCCATTCATTGCTCTGATTTAGTTTGTACCGGTGTTTGTCATATTTTCTAGAAAAAATATATCGACTAGTTAACAATTTTTGGTAAATGTATTTGCATTAAGAGTTTAGAATATATTGGATTTCAATATCATGACATAATTATAATTGGGCAGGGATGTGTCTTAGCGCCTGTCCTATTCAACATATTCATGGCGCTCTCCATTACAGTGGACAGCAAACTGCAGGAAAGAGGATTGGGCATTAGATACAGATATAGATACGGCGATCTGTTCAACATAAAAAGACTCAGGGAAAAAACACGTATAAAATTCATTATAGAACTTCATTACGCTGATGACTGCGCTCTAGCTGCAAAAATGTTACAGCAATTACAAGAAATATTGAACATATATACCTGGGCATACGAGGCTTTAGGCCTTAAGCTGAATATCGACAAAACTAAAATCATGTGTACTCCCCCGAAAGATCACAACAACGTTATAAAAATCGGAGAAGAACTATTGGGATATGTAGCGGAATTCAATTACCTCGGCAGTTTGATTTCGGAAAAGACCAATATCGACTTTGAAATTCAGCACCGGATTAGCAGCGTCTCAAGAGCATTCTAGGAATTAAAAGACTGGGTCTCCTACAATCATTACTTGAGCACAAAAACGAAACTTGCAATGTATAATAATTGTCGAGAAATAATAATCCCCACCATGTTATATGGAAGCGAAACCTGAGTGCCGCACAGTGTTTCGATATAGGAAAAAAGTGGACATTTAAGTATAAAATCAACATTGAAAAGTACTATTTTTTTTCATCAGCACAAATTGGTAATACCCTACGCTATGTTGGTTCACATTATTTTTTTTACAACATTTAGTTTGTGAATAAATTTAATTGAAACTTGCCCTTCCGTAAGTCACAAAAATTTAGCCAAAAACCTTGCCCATTTTACAAAAAAATGTGCTGCGAAAGTATTGCTTGATTAAAAATTATTTTTTGTGTGCAAAATCTATAAACCTTTGGTAATGTATTTCTGTAAATTTTTCATAAAATTATGCAGTAAGTAGACGGGAAACGTTTTTCCTTTTGGTTGAAGTCGTTTTTTTACAAAATTAATGTTTCCGTTGACTTATAAAAAATGTTTAGATTTGTTTAAGTTGGCAAATATCTTGTTTGATAGAGCCACCTTTAGGGAAAAAAGCCTATATTTTTTATTTGTTAATATTTGCTATTCTTAGAAAAAAATGCTTTTATTTCACATTCTGCAAAGGTATTTATTTTGCATTAGTCTATACGGATTCAAATGAAGGCGCATAAATAATTCTTTTCTTTATACACATTCCAGTCTTGGCTTGAATCAAGAAAAGAATTTCTTTGAAGTATTGTGATATATTTATTTAGTTGTCGTATTTTCCTAGCACCGTGTGGTCAGCATTTTCGAGATGGAGAAATTACAAAAAAATCGCGAATTGTTTCTAATGTTACGAGACAAGAATATTAGTTTAAAAGACCATAATAGTCTAGTGCATGCGGTTAAGACCCAGTGGAGTTTTTTGTTTTCCGAAGGAACGTCGAAAGTTCTGTCGGAATGTTTAAGACTTTTTTGCGTTAATTTGAACAAAATATATCAAACCTCCTCTCGGAATATTGACTATTTTTTAAAAAAGGAATCTCAGTGGTTGAAGTCTACATTTTCTTGCCCAGAATGTGTTGAAAATGAGTTTCTGTTGCAACAGGTCTCAACTAGCAAAGACAACCCCAAGCCAAAACCATTAAAACCATTCGGCGATTTGAGTACGAAACAGAAAAAAAGAAGAACACTTAGCCTAACTCATGAAAATACTTTTGAAGAGTTGGCATTTGCTACAAAATTGAGGTTAAAAATTGAAGGTCGAAAAGAACTAAGCAAAATTATTGAGCACATTTTAGAAAATGATGATGATGTTACAAAAGTGAGTGATTTTTTATTTAAAACTTCAAAAAAAACAATTTGCATTTATCCGGAAAAATCGCTTGCTTTAATGACTTCCTTAAAATTATCAACATATCAATACATTACTTTGAAAGACTTTACAATTGAACATATGCGGAATAATATACTACCATCATACTACAAGCTCAAAAAAGAAAAGGAAAATTGTTATCCACCACAAGAAGTTGTTGTTGTAACAGAGAAAATGGCAAAGATACGCTTACAATCAATTCTAGATCTAACAGCTAAAAGAATTGTTAAAACTTGCAACTTGAACATACAGCCAAATTAAGAATTAATTCTCACTACTAAATGGGGTTTTGATGGTGCATCTAGTCAGAGCTTATATAAACAAACATTTGAAGACCGCGAAAATTCAGAACAGGAAGAATCTTCGGTGTTCATGACAAGTTGTGCTCTCCATTTGAAAATGGGTAGTAGAACTATATGGGAAAATCCTGGCACCCGCATCAACGCAATATTGTAGACCGATAAAGTTTGAGTTTACTAAAAAATCAGCTGATATGGTTACTCAACAGTTTAAAGATATGCAAACCGAAATCGAAAATCTTATTCCAACATATTGCAATGTAGATATTATTATTAAGCACGATCTTCATTTGACTATGATAGACGGCAAAATTCGCACCATAATATCCGAAACATCGTCTTCATCCACTTGTCCTATTTGTCTTATCAAACCTTCTGAAATGAATTTTGGATGTTTATAAAAAAAACCTTTAAGGGAAGATATTTATAAGTATGGACTTTCAACCCTTCATTTGTGGATAAGATGTATAGAATGTCTCCTTCATATTGCATACAATATAGATTTTAAGTCATGGTCTGCAAAGGGAGAAAACAAAACCTTGAAAGAAGAAAGAAAGAAAGCAATTAAAAAAGCCTTTAGAGAT